TGCTGAGATGCGTGAAACTTCAAATCCATTAGATACTTCCCATCTGTAGTAAGGAGAACTTTCCCATGTGGGTAACCCAGAGATCCAGCTTCATCTCATACCTGTGAGGAAACAAGCATGCGTGGGATGTTCTCTGTAGCTAGGGTTTGCAGCTGTCGCAGCAGCACTGCATTGCCGCTTTAGAGGTGATGCATTTCCTCTGGATGCTGAAACCGCAGTAGTGCTTTGGTGGCAATCCAGTTCCCTATTGCTCGTTTGAATTGGCTGCTGCTAAAAGGAATGCGTAGGGTGAAAGGATGGGTGGTAATTATTCATACAGTGGCACTTCAATGATATTTTTTGCTATTGTTTCCAGAGAAGCTTATCGTGAGTTTTGGTGATAGTCAGGTGCAGCTCACCCTGCCGGCAAAGGCTGGGGCAAGATTGCCGCCTAGTGCTCGGTTGCTGGCTGTCATTTCAAGGCATGTGCTGCAGTCAGGTGTCAGGTTGGAAAACCAAAGTAGGCAGGAACCTCTCGAGTAGCTCAGTTCCACTCCCAGTGCTATTACGCACCCTAATATTCCAGTTCATAAACTGAATTCACCTTTAGATGATGTGCTCAGCAGCACATTTAAGGGCAGAAGATTTCCCTTCCCCAGGCAGAGATTTGGCAAATTCAGCTGTCGGAAATCTATTACTCAGTTGCTTGGGAGGTGAAAGTATGATTTGGCCTAGGTACAAGCCCAAAGGCTGACTTCTCCTGGTTGGTTTCTCTCGCCTGTCCGTTTCCCTTCCAAGAGGTGGTTGCTGGATCCCTTCCCTTCTTCTAGAGTTATGTACGGTATTGGGTTTAGGGCTAACACTTCTAACACCAGCTGGTGAGGAGAAGCCAACTATAGGGATGTTTGATGGCCTCATCCGGAAGAAAGGAAAAGAAATATGGACAGAGAGAAAGTTGGAGTAAAAAATATGCACAAGACGGCAGAATAAAAGAATATATGAAAGGCAATGAACAGAGTGACCTTGAGAATGGGTATAATTTCTGTTTCTTGATCCCTAAATTATGCACCAGACCATAGTGACCTCTGCATACCTGGCTCATGAAGAAAGGGACAGGACTAAAATACAGTAAAACATTTGCCCATGGTTGCCAAGTAGATGGTGGGGTGCGAAGCAAGCTGTGCTGGCAGTTGCAATTAGGAGCACCAAGCCGAGCCTGCACAGACTTCCCTCAGCACAGGCACAGGAGAATCCCAAGGCAGCTTCACCCCAGCCGAACCATCGTAGTCTTGGCCAGAGACTGGCACTGCGAGTCTGCACAGTGTCCTTAGCAGCAATGAAGGAGAGCGAGTCTTGGGTCTCCACCATCCTGCAGAGTCCTGCCTTGATTTCGGTGCCACCCATGGCAAAGAGCTCAGCAGTGCCCTTACCCAGAAACGAAGTCATCCCAGGGAAAGATGACATTTGTGACCTGCAGACAGCACAATCGGAGATGCCAGTTGTGGTGTCATCGAAGATGTGGTTAAAACAATAAGGATCTTCTATAAAGTCTTTTGTCCGGAGGACTAACAGAACCATATTTCCATTTCTGACAACTGAAAAAGAGTCAAGAATGGAAATATTTTCAGCTTTGGTGATTTTACTTATTTTTACAATAAGAGAACATTATTTTTTTCTTTACTAATAAAATGGCATCTTTTGATATTAAACATTGAAAGAGACACTTCTGTGGTTTGTAATCTTTCTATTCCCCAGCCAAACAGGTGTTTGTACTTTCACTGGATCAGATTTACTCTATGTGAATCGGGTTCATTTACCAGCTGATTGGTAATAAGAATCAAATGGATTTTTCAAATGTATCTTCCTGTGGGAGTCATCTGGAGGCATTTCTGGCAAATGTATTTGATGTATTTGCTTTGCTTATCAAAGCTTTGGAAATCATGCAGGCATCCCTACTTCCATGCTGAAAAAGATTCTATTTGATTGTTTTGTTATCAGGCTTGCTTTGCTTGATCTTTGTCATTTTGTGGCTCTGGAATTAATGACTGGCTGCTAATTGTGACCCACATGGTTTTACTCTGTCAAAACGCATTTAAAATAAAATACAAACTGCCAAAAACATGTGGCATTCATTAAAAGATGTTCAGAGCACAACGGAACTTCATGCTGTGGAATTACATTTTGAGAATCAACTTTGTTTTAGAAGAAATCTCTCACATATTCTGTGTTTCATTTCATCTTGCAGAGAAAACGTCTAGAATGGTTTCTCTTAGTTCTCTGCTTCCTAAACTTAATACCACTTAGGAAACTGGAGCAGCTAGTTCATATGGACGCTAGGCACTCCATCCTACACGCATTACAATTTCTGCAGGAGTATAAACATAAATTCTTGACTCTCTTTGCAAACATCTAGTCATGTATATTCAGAGTGAATGTTTGCTAGCACATGAGCAAGTACTTGCACAAGTTAGGAAGTCAGCTGAGAAGTCCAGTATCTAAAGGCAGTTGATGGGATATTTGACATCCTGAAAGATCATTTAACAGTATCTGTTTTGTTCTCTTAAAAGTATTCTCTGAATTACCTTAACCTCTTCCTCCGTTTCCCAATGCTTTTTTTAATGATTTATGAGTTTTGTCAGATCTTTGCTGATTTAGGATTTGTCTGGGTGGAAAAAAGATGCATTTCTGGCAGAGCCCCTTTTCATTTTTGACTTGCCCTTTGTTTCAGATGTACATCACAAGCACAATTAAAACAAAGAGTAGCAGGCTAGCCAAACCTGTGCTGTGTCTGGGTACCCTGTGTGCTGCGTTCCTCACCGGGCTAAATCGAGTTTCTGAGTATCGAAACCACTGTTCGGACGTGATTGCAGGCTTCATCTTGGGAAGTGCTGTAGCTTTGTTTCTGGTAAGCCCATCAGTCCTTCTACACCCCTTTTAAAATTACCTCAGTTGAAAAATAAAAGATAACTATTCTCTAGTGGACTATTGCAGCCAATTAATACGGTTGCTAAGATCTAATTCTAGCACCATCTAATTAAAGGTATCATCAGAGAAAATCCTAATATGAAATCAGGTTGGTAATAATTGATAAGGTTAACATGATGACATTTGTGCATTGTATGTACTTCAGGATTATTTTAATTACTGTACATGTTCTAACTTGACCTGTCCTGGAAAATGCTTTAAAGATGGTGTAGATTTCAACTAATGTCAAAAGGGAGGCATTCTTGATAATTCTTCTCTGACAACGCTGTGTGGCAAAACCCCACTGTCTGCGTGGTATTTGGCAAAAACGTAGGATGCAGGATGTTATCTGGAGCTCTAAGCAGTGGTCCTGGTTCCCCGTTTTGTTTCAGACCGTAAGAGAAGTGCATTGGAAAGGAGGGTGAGGACAAACTCCCTGGGAGACAAAAATACCTCCCTTTGCAGGCTTTGGAGTTGAGCTGAAACTGTTTGCCATCTCATGGGATAAGCATGTGCATTAAAGTGTATCAGAGGCCTTCCCACCGAATCTAGGAACAGTATCTCTCTGGAATTCCAGTGTTCCTTGCCCTGCTGTTGGCTGTGTGGTTCAGGTGTTGTGTTTGGTGAGGGATCTCTTGCTGAGGATTTACCCACACAGCAGTCAAGGTGACTCTCACTATTACCCAGCAATGTGCCTGCTTCCATTTAATCAAAATATGCTTCAAAACTATCCACTACATAGCAACAGACACTTTATCCCTGTAATCAGGAAGGATTAGGTTTCAAAGATCCGTTAAATCTAGATTTTGCTGTCACTGATTTTTTTTCTATTCTGTACTTTAAAACAAAACACAACACAACAAAACAAAACCTTCACATATAATTTATTCCTGTGGTCCCTTTAATTAAAAAAAATGTCCACTACCTCTGACCTGGATCTCCTTGGCTTTCACGTGAAGCAGTTTCCCGCTGGGAAAGGCAGTTTAAATCTAGCCCATGCAAGGTGAGAGGCAGTCACCCCGTACATCAGGTCAGGACGATCTCTGTGCTCCCAGTACCTGTTTCTAGCAGTGACAGCCAGCTCCCAGCCACATTTTGGCCCTGCAGACCTCCTGCCACCCTGCAAGTTCACAAGCCTAATTGAAGGGGTCTCCCCAGAGCTTGGGGGGTTGCTGTGAGACTCCCTCTGCCGGCACAAAACTCACCCAGGCTGCAGCCTGCTCCTTGCTGAGGTCTAAAAAGCAGGAAAGAGGAAGAGCCAGCAAGGACCTGGCTGCAGGAGTCCCTCCAATAGCAGATGTGTTGGCTCCTGTTTGTCTTTTTTTGCACTTTGTTCCCAAGCCCCGGCCTACCGTGTGTGTTTGCTCTTATTAGCATCACCATGTGGGTGCTGTAAGTCTGCTCACGCACGAGGGGAGGGTTTGTAGGGTAAACACCACAGCAGTTGTGCTGGAGGCATGCAGGAATGGTGCTAAATGGGCTTGATGTCATCCAGATGTGAGGTAGATGCAGCCACCCAGTGAGCTGTTTTCACTGTTTGGAAATGACAGTCAGACTCTGAAGGGAATATTTGGCCAATAAAATGCATCATCGGGGTAGTCCGTGGTTCTGTGATGACAAAGCAGACATAGAAGTCTCTGCTGTATAAAACATAAAAAGGGTGAGAGTGGTTTGTCACCTCAGATTACAGGCCAGATGAGCCCATGTACCAAGGTAGTCCACCATGCCCAACGGTGTCAGTAAACACACCACAGCCCAAGGCTGAGATAGGTGATGCCTTGAACCAAAACACAGGTTATGTTCTTTGCAAAAACTGGCACTTGTGAGCCGCCTGATGGTGATTCCTGTGAGTTTTTCCTGGGGACAGAACATGCTGACCTCACTTTTTTTTTTTTTTTCTGGCATTACATAGGGGATATGTGTTGTCCATAACTTTAAAGGCACTCACGGAGCTCCTTCTAAACCGAAGCCTGAAGACCCAAAAAAAATGCCGCTAATGGCTTTTCCAAGAGTGGAAAGTCCTCTGGAGACATTGAGTGCACAGGTACTGTAAATCCTCTCACCCAGACCATCGCCAAGCACATTTTCTGTTATGGCAGTGTAAAAACTAGTTATATACATAACTACACAGGGAACTGGTTTTATCTCTAACATTAAGCCTATTGAACAGAGTGAGTTTGCATCAGGAGAGAGTTTGCTTTAAAGCAATTATCCCTTAAACTACCAAATATTGTAGCTCTTCTGCCCCTGTGTACATCCAAAGCTAAAGCAGTAGGATTTCACATGCCTCTGCCTATCATTTGTGAGAACAAACTGTTGTTTAGAAGAACAGAAAACTGAGAGAAAAGTAAAGATAATTCTGTCCAGTTACACTTTGGAAGGCTTTTGGGTTGTTTTAACGATTTACTCTAACATTTGTAATCCTGAGAATAAACTATGCTGTCCAGAAAAATATTATAGATATTAGTTTTTTATCTTTATTACTGTTCAGGATCTTCTATAAGAAGAAGAAATCATATACTGTTTTCTATCTCAGTCATCAGAAGAGAAGTTAATAGCATTCTTTCAAGTTTGCAAAAAAACAGGCATCATCATTGATGGTGTTTCTGTTAAACTACTAACTTCAAATGGCTTGTGGTGGCATAATTGAATCATACCCAGTCCTTTGAAAACAGACAAGCAAGTGACACCTGCCAAGAATTTCTGGGAACAAGGAGGAACTGTAGTTTATCAGTTATCTGAAATGCCCTGGTGTAATTTATTTGTTCTTTAAATTGTACTTCCTTTATTAGATGGCCTGTCATTCCTGTGTACACAGGGTATGGAAAGATCAATAGTGACTTTTGTTAAATGTTTCACAAATAAACTGAAAATAAGAATTAAAAAATGAAAAAGACACTGTTTCTAATGCCTGGAAATGTTATGCTTAATTGAAAAGTCAATTTTGATTAGGCAAAGATTTGCTGGAAGACTTCCAACTAAATCTACAGAACTGGGTGCATTAACTGTTCTCTTGGTAGACTTGCAGTCCAGAAACTAAGTGCTACTTATATATCCACATTGCATCGTGTATGACAAAAGGGCTGAACGGGTGAAAATATTCATAGACTGAGAAAAATTTTGTCTAGTCAGCTATTTATACCTTCTGGACTGTGAAGCAGATCTACCATCTGAAACTATTATAAACAAGTTCTTGGCAGTGGCTGCTTATTACTGTTTCTTCAGGTATCGGAGGTGCATCGTCCTTCTCTGTACAGATTTCTGCATCCGTTCCCAGTGTTGTTTTGCATTGCACCCACACAAACCCTGCCAATGCAGCGTGATCCAAGGACAACTCAGTACTGCCACTGAAGTAATAGAATCATAGAACTGTCTAGGTTGGAAAGGACGTTTAAGATCACCAAGTCCAACATCAACCTAACACTGCCAAAACCACCTTTAAACCATGTCACTCAGCACCACATCTACCTGTCTTTTAAATACTGCCAGGGATGGTGAGTCCACCACTTCCCTGGGCAGCCTGTTCCAATGTTTTAAGTGAAGATAACCCTTTCAGTGAAGACATTTTTCCTAATATCCAGTGTAAACCTCATTACTTGAGGCCTTTAAACCATGTCACTCAGCACCACATCTACCTGTCTTTTAAATACTGCCAGGGATGGTGAGTCCACCACTTCCCTGGGCAGCCTGTTCCAATGTTTTAACAACCCTTTTGGTCAAGAACTTTTTCATAATATCCAGTCTAAACCTACTCTGGCATAACTTGTGGCCATTTCCTCTTGTCCTATTGCTTGTTGCTAGCAAGAAGAGGTCGACCTCCACCTGTCTACAACCTCCTTTGTTGTCCACAGCCTAGTTGTAGACAGCAATAAGGTCTCCCCTCAGCCTCCTTTTCTCCAGGCTAAACAACCCCAGTTCCCTCAGCCGCTCCCCATAAGACTTGTTCTCCAGACCCCTCACCAGCTTCTTTGCCCTTCTCTGGACATGCTCCACCACCTCAATGTCTTACTTGTAGTGAGGAGCCCACGTCCTGGACACTGGCTTCAAAGAAGGTTCAATCAGCACTGTTTCCACCCAAAGAGGACTTCTGTGTTGCTATATATCCGTATACAAATGTTCACGTTTGCCTTTTACTCTTTCCAGAATCACTCCGCCTCTATGACTGAAGTAACCTGAGATGGAAGATTGGCAACAGAAGCTATTTTTTATTACCCTCCAGTACAATACTCCAAGACACACAGTTACTAAATGTCTAACTGTGATGACCAGTATTATGTTATGTCTAGTTAGAGGCTAATGTTTTGTACTTTTTTTGTATGAGGAAGTGATGTAGCTTGCCCTGATTTTTTGTCAGCTTTAATATTATTATGCCAGAATTTAAAAGCAAAACGGAAAAAGAACAAAAAAAACCTTTTCATGTTTAAAGTGTGCACTGAGGAACTACATCTATGGAATTGTTGATGTTGTTATGTGATATTTGTACACAATTCTTTTTTTTTCCTTCATTTTTGAATTTTTATCTCTTGAAAAAAAAATAAAATAACTTTTACCTTTTCTTACCATAAGAAGTGCTTCTACCAGTAGGTCAGATTCTGATCTGAGTAAGCTCAGCGTAGATCTGAAGTGATTGCATATATTTAATTCAGATCAAAATAATGGTGATCAGGAATCTAACCCGAATGATACTATCAACAAGTAATAAACTTCCATCCTTGATTCAGTGAGCTACTTAAGTGTTCCTTGGCATGATGGACTTCAGTTAGCCATCCAGTTTCCAGACTTCCTTGGCAGACGTGAAGTATGTCCTTAAGCATCTCACTGAATCAAAGCCTGATTGTTCTGGTGTGGGTGATTGTGCTAGTTATTGAAGAATAACTAAAACAACATACTCAGTCTGCAGTATAGACAGACTGGACATGAAAATTTATAGTAGTAGCTGATAGCATGTGAGCTGACTATATCATCTCCCTAGATCTCCGTTCCTCCCCGAGGCCCAGCTGAAGCTCCCAGTGAAACCTGGCTTCAGGAATTGACTATGGGGATATACAGCCACCACTGTGGAGCTGAGGCTGCGCTTTAAGTGTTTCATAACTTCATCATAGATTTGTGGGGTAACTAGTAACACTGGTGCAAAGGAAAAGTGACAACACTTCTTCAGTGGAGTGGCATTACGTGGCATTCAGATTGGCAGAACCAAGAAGCCAGTTTGGCCCCGACAGTGTAGTTTTCACTGAAGGGCTTTGGCAAGTCAAAAAAAAGAAAAAAAAAAAAAGCCTGACCCAGTCGATAGTAGCAGTCTGCATTTTTGTAAATTCTGCCATACAGAATTTATATCAAAACTGCTATTTTACAATCTAACAACTTTGTTTAAGGAATAAAAAGATGATGGGGGGGGGGGGGGGGGAGAACAAAAAAGAGCCTGTTTACAACGGCTAGAGCTGGGGCAAAGGCTTCATTACATGACTTTTCACTGTTTCTAGGATTTTACTGCATCTCATTCTTCTAGCATGGTGATAACTGCTGTGTGTCTCCTTTAAAGAATGGAGCCTCTGTCTGTACTTTTACTGGAATGTTTACCTCACATTTCCATGTTGGTTCTTCTTGGCTTTTTTTGTATATTTTTTCCAAAACAGATGCAAAAAAAAAATTATCAAAAAACAAAAATGCGTAGCCTGGTCTCTGTCATTCGCCTGTGACACAGAGAAAATTTGGGATGCCTGTTTCCGTCTGGTCTTGCGGTGTTTCTTCCAGGACAGTATTTTCTTCCAACTCTACTGATCTGCTTCAGTCTTAGGAATAGAAGGATCAGGCTTGGGCCATGCAGACTTTCTGTGACCACAGGGAACCATTGATAAGTGTTCTGGGTCCATCACTACAACTTTGATCCAAATTCCACAGGGAATATTTCTGATGAGTAAGTTTGGCTGTGGAACCAGTCCTTGTTCTGCTGTGTTAGGAGAATAATGACATGTTAGGAAAGCTTAATCAGAAGTGAATACTCCAATCAATACGCCCAGTCAGCAGCACGTAAGTCCACTCATGCTGCCAAGGGTTAGCAGGGGCATGAATTCCAAGATAAAAACTTTATATTCTGTAGCCTAGGTTTTATGGCTGCGGACCCTGGGGTTGTGTTCCTCCCAAGTGTGCTGTTACCATGTTGTGAATCTTGTGTTCTGGTCAATAGCTTCCACAGAATTGGTAGTGATGTTGTTCCCCCACTGCTTATCCTCTAGTGTGATGGTGCATGCAATCTTTCTGAAGGTGAAAGATGTGGTTTTGAGTTTCTTCCCCATCCTCCAGGTTGAAGAAAGATTTGAATCTCGATTTTCCGTTTCCTGAAGGATGGGTTTTACCCTTTTAGTTACAGTGCAGCACGGTGGGAGGCACCTCTCTCTACTTTGAAATAAGCAAGTGAGCACTGCTGTCTTCTCTGACGTGGTATGAGGATGGTTATATGCAGGAGAGGTCTGCAGGTAGATGCAGATTCACAGAGGCGTGCATGCTTATTTCCAAGTGCCTAAGTTCTGGATGAGTGGTTAGATGAAGCTAGACCTATTGCACACATTCACTGCATTTCCTCTTGGCTAGCTCTGTGTGTTTGCTACCATTTTAGATTTATAGTACCGTCAGCCTTTTCCAGTTGACAGATAACCCCCTGCACAGGACGGCTAAACCTAACAGCACATTTGCTTTTCCTAGCTATCTTTCCCTTCAGGAGCAATGGGTGTCCACCTCCTGCAATCTGTGACCCAGTGAAAAATCAGTCTTTAGGTAGCCTTTAGATTATTCTTGGGTTTTTTTCACTCCTGTTCTGAGGGACGTTATTCTCTATGTGCTGCGTACAGTGAGTTTCAGCAGCTAACAGTGGCTTCTGTAATCCAGCGTTCCAACCAGCTGTATTAAATAAACATGTTGCAGTTGGATCACCTCTTAAAATGGATGTATGGCCCTTGGGCTGTGTGCAGTTTCATGCACTTCAGGTATGAACACAGACTACACAGCGTGACTGGCAGCAGTTTCTGACCACGTCTGCTTGGAGGCATCACCAGAGGGATGGCTGTGTCCTCTCTCTGCCCCCCGCTAACTCCTGTCTGACAGGGAAGTGGGTACCCCCGCGGATCTGTTGTTCTTGCTCCTCCTGGTGTGCGGATTGTGACTCTTGGCTGTGTGAAGACTCTGGAACGTGACTCCTAGGATCAGAAAAAAACACCTGCCTCTGTCTTAATCGAGTACCTGTATGGAGGGAAAATGGCACATCCCATCGAAACCAGAGGTCAGCATCAGAAACAGAACGTTCATCCTCCCCCAGACGTGAATGGGAAGCTTCACTGAGGCAGGACAGCCTCCCTCAGCTGGTCCTACACGTGCAGGAGTCCCTTCACAGCACACCACAGCTTTGTGTCATTCACAGGGACACCTGTCCACCCCGCCTGGCATACAGTCCCTCTGTTGAGAAATACCTTGCTAACCTGGCTTCTTTACACTTTTGTTTGATCTTCTCCACTGGTTCTGCCTGAAACAAAAAAAGATCGGCCCTCCTGCAAAGGCATGAGCAGAGCATTTATTTATTTATTTGTTTATAATTGAATTCAGTAGAAATTACATACTTTTGAAAGCCCAAGGATTAGAAAAAAAAAGTGTTTAAGCACCTAGAAGTCTTAGCCCTTCCACAGCACAGGTGTTCTATGCAAGACTTTGATCTCATTTCAGACTTTTTGCTTTTTCAGCTTCTTACAAGCAGTTAAAAGTTTCCCATCTCAAACACCCGCTTCTTGCGCAGGTGTGCTGCTGGACGTGCGAGGTTTGGACCTCAGAGGGACTAAAGTATCTGGGAATAGGGAAACGGCAATTTGACTCAACTCAGACACAGCAAAACATGAGAGGAGGCTGTTGTCATTCTCCTTTCTTGCCTATCCTCCTATTTTTCAGCCTTCTGCTTTTCACTCTCTCTTCTGATCATGTTACTTGAGCTATGAAAATTATGTACTGGGAGAGACACAGAAGAGGGCAAACAATGAGCAGAAAGTGCAGCTACTACTGAAAGTGGTTTTTTTAGATAATGAGTGCTAAGAGGAAACAAGGAGGTGGAAGTATCTCTCCTTTGATGGAAAGACAACCTAATTTCATGAAAAAAATACTTCCAATTCATTGCTCCCAAACAGTCTCTGAAGCAGACAAGATGACACAGATTTAGCTATTTATCACACAGTGTTTCTCTGTAAGCTACAGGGAAGGGATTTGTGAACAGCCAGCCTTCCTCAGTGACTGGTTAAACATCCCCAGTTCCCTCATGTTCACCCCACAATAGAACATCTAGTAGTACACTTATACTATTCTGTAATTCCCCAGGACTCAAAAGGAGAAAATTTCTTCGGAGCTATGAGAAAAAAGCAGCGCTGGAGAAGTTTGCTGAATAAAGAAACTGAGCACAATAACAGCAGCAGTTCTTAAGCGTGCTTCAGGTATTTGTACGCTAAAAGAAACCAGGGGTGGTAGGGTTCAGGAGAGTGAGTGGTATAACCAGGGTATTTCTGCATCATTCCCAGAAATACCATACGTACAGAATCTAACGTCACTGTAAACAACCTGGTTTTGAAGAAAACATTCACAGAGTACTAGGCATTTCTCAGACCGTTGCATTTATTTTCTTGTCCTCCTGACTTCACTGCTCGTCTCCTTTGTTTAAAAGCAAACCGACATCATCAGTTACATGGGAAGAAAAACTAACATATAGCTATTACATGTTTTTACATAGCTACAGAAAAATTAACATACAGCTAACATACAAGAAAAACTACCTAATAGCTATTAGAAGGAGCAACAGAACACATACAAAACCAGGGTCCTTCAACAGCCATGGGAAGAATTCTACAAGCTCCCTTGATGGCAGCTGTTTTTATAGTGTTGGAGAGTTCACCATGACTGAATTGAGAGATTTCAGAATTTCACTTGGCAATATCTTCATGTAGGAGTTTTGAGCAAAACAAGTGATGGCTTTTAGGAACATTATTGCTGACAGGGTCTTCTTGTAATATCAAGGGGAAAAAAAAAAAGAAAAAAAAAATATGCTGGCTTACCTTCCCCTCCTTCCCCCAGAGTTTACTGGCCCAGCTAGTCTCGGTCGCTGGGCTGACCAGGGCGCCTGAGATAGCCAAACTGCACTGGCAAAAGCCCATTACACAGTTCAGAACCAAAGACGAGAAGTTTATGATATGCAGGGAACAAAGTGAGGAGTTCGTCCTCTCTTTTTATTTCCTGCTGGACCCAGCATTGTTGGGCAGCACAGTAAAGGCCAGAAAACATACATTAGTACTGTTACTGACCATACTGTGTCACTGTTTCACAAAGAGAATTTCTGCTCTTTTTTCCATATATAGTAATAGAAACAATGAAACCTGAAGACAATTAAATGAACTTTTATTAGTGACAATTATCTATTCGGTCAGTACAACAATAAAAGCGCTATGCTTCTGCTCTGCAGTCCTGCCCTAGGAGCACAAACAAAGCAAAGTGATGCTTCACGGTGAAACTCACTGCTGCCAGGTAATCTTCAGGTTTGGGGGTAGCTCTGCAGCACACAGTTCATCAAACTTGGACACATCCTTCACAGGAGTGCTATAGAAATTCAAGACATCCTCAGCACTGCGCATCAGGTGGAGCTGTGAATTGGGGACAGCATGACTAAGTTCTGCTGCCAGCTGAGCCAGGAGGCGATACTTTAACCTGTTTTCTTTGAGGGGTGTCTGCTGCCAATTATCAGGAAGTGAGGGTCCAAAAATCTCCTTGACATGAGACTCAAGGCAGCTCTGTATATCCTCTGGAGGAAGATAGCTTCTACTGCGTGGTGGGGGGCAGATCAGGCTGGGTTCACTTTTCTCTTGATGAATTATTTTCTCTGCTTCTACTTCTTTTTCCTTCTTCCTGTTGACACCAGACAGAAGTACTTTCAGTCTACTGAAAGTGGGCTACTTAAGACTAAGTCAGAACATGCATCTATTTATAGTCTTTAAATATTGGACTCAACCTAGCCTGCAGAGAGTTTACACATCCCATGGCCACAGCAGGTTCATTATGCATGCAAGGACAAAAGCACGCAAGCCACACCTCTGGATCTTCCTCAAATGCTGCTCACCACATGGTTTGTCTCTACACAGCAGTCACCTGCCTAGCTTATTTTACAGGTCAGAGCGTAAACAGAATTTTAGCCAGCTTAATGACTTGTTTTCCCAGTTACAACCCCATTTTCTAATCTGCTGTGAAAAAGAAGATAACAGAAAATAACGACTGATAAGAGAAAAAATTAGTGCCCACAGATGAGAAAAATACAATCAGAAGTTTCAATTAGAAAACTGAAGCCTACCCCGAGTTACTTGACTTGCTCACGTGCCACAACCTAGTCAACACCACAAGTATGGTTTCACCTATAAAGTTACACAGAAACGACGGGTTTCCATTCCCACTGCCCTGCAACACCCCTTCTTCCACACCTACCAAGTTCCCTTACCGATGGAGGCAAGAGCATTAAAAAAAACCAAACCCTAACCCTGCACCGCCCCACC